CCATCCGACACATTTACTTCGTTTGTCTTTTTTGGCTCCCCTACTCAACTCTCCCCGATTTTTAGTCCATTCTGTTTTTACTTTAGCTTCTTTATTTTCCCATAGTTAAAACCTACCGGTCGTCTTACTATTCGCTGATGAAATCACTTCGTTTGTGCTTATATTAATGACGGTTGACCAGAGGCTCTAGGATCGTATACACCACCTGTATACAACAGGTAAACTACCAGAAGTGCCATGCCACCCCAGCTGTGTCTAATTTGGTGACATGTCGATCTGATCCTGAACTTTAAAGTCGCTAATATGGGATTGTTGGTCTTTGAGGCTCCGTAGCTCACGGGCCTTCAAAACGGAAACTCCAGTACCATAAGAGGGAAGTTACTTCTCAGAGCATGGTTGTTAATTTCGTTCTCCAGGTGAGTTTGAGTCATACTGAAAGACGTGGAATCCATCCTCCTTTACTCGGTCTTTACTCGGAGGCACATCTGAGCGAACAGACTACCAGTTCTGCCCAGCACTGGTCGTTTTATTGACTGCAAGGGCAGAGTATTGGGCTCTTATGTTAGTCAGTGTTGGTGATGCCGAACACTTACGGAAGCTTTGGTCTCTCCTGAAATGATGACAAAAATTTTAAAACTTGTTTCCAATTCGCAAAAAAACACTTACATAGAATTGTACTAATCAGTATCATGTACCATGGTCTCAAGATATTTCAGTAGCTTTAGGATGCTGGCTTCTAACTAAGCTTCTTCCTGGCCACCCGCAAAAACAACACTGCAAACAACTAACTGCTTCATTAGTATGAATTTTCCCATTACTTTTTGGCACCTTCTTCAGTTTGAATATAGTTTATAAAAAATTAACATAAAGCTACCCTTTATTTTACTCATTCGGTGGCAAATTACGTTTCCTTCACATTTCATCCCTTAAGAAAGTGTATACTGTGGTTCTAAAAAGCCTGCAATCATGAGGTTAGTCTCGTCCATCCTCTCCTGGCTAACTGTGGGATGACGCGATTTTTGTGGTCTTCGTGTTGTAGCACCTAAATATCTCCCTCTTTCAACCTCTTCCACAACAGTTTGTGTAAGTGTTTGCCGTTCTGGATTACATTGAACAGCTCGCAGAACTGCGCTTTAATGTTGTTTGGCTTACATCACCGAGGACGAGTTCGACAATAAATTCGAAGGCTCAGGTGAATAAAAAGCTTGTTTGCGTTTGCTTACCTGTACAGACATAGAAGACGCGATCTGAACGTATAAAATGTCACTTAAACTGAGCGTTTCTTTGACTCGAGGATCAGTGTATCATGATTCTTGCTTCAACCTACACAGAAGTTAACGAGACTTTGTCAGTGGTTAGAAGATTCCCATATGATTTCAATGCTCTTTCGCACTTTTTTCTTTCCTGCTCCAATTTCTGACGCTTGTAACAACATCAGTCTCTGATAGTTCCTTATTGTACGACCGAGAAAATGGAAGCCCCAGCAGATTGCAGAACCTTAAAAATTGATTAGCAACCTACCCCCACTATACTGTCGAAGCTTTCTATCTGAAATTTCTTTGAAATTATCTTGTTTTTCAGACAAACGCGGAGTTATCTTTTCAAAAAACCAACTCTTACTTCATAATATCCATATTCAGTGAAGACAAATTAAATTATCATCTACTCGATTACGTTTTTTTCCTTTGTAGTCTTCTCATTCCGCATGCTCAACGTCACCATCCCGATCTGTGGTTCCCTGCAAACCTCAAGAATCTCGAGAACGAACGTCAAGGTTGGTTCTTCGACCTACGAAAACTGCAGGAGTCTGTACCCAACTTTGAAAAAGGTGATTATTTTGCATTTAATTTGCATTTGTGTGGATAGAATTTCGCTGTGGATGACAACCCTTCTGATTTAATGTTCTGTTTCAGGACATGAAAAGTTGTTAGGGGTTACTTGTGCAATACTCCTTGACTCTGGTGATTTAGTCCACTTAAGTTTGTCCTTCTTTCGTCCTTTATATATAGGCTGAACTCACGAGCTCAAAGCGAAACGAATGAGGGTCTACTCATCTAGCAATTGCAGCACGGCTCGCTGGTGGAGGTGCACAGTATTGTTTTAAAAATAAGAGCTACTTATTTAATTTTTAGTAGATATTATACGTATGGTTGATGGCGCCCAGCAGGAACCTTGTAGAACCACTTGCCCGTTTGTGCATTGGGACTCGATACAGAGCCGCTTAGGCGGTCGCAACGGTTAGAGCGTTGGATTACTAACCAGAAGAGTGTAGATTAAGGCCTCAGCTACCTTCAAGTCTGTGGTTGGGTAAGGTTAGCTGACGATAGCTAATCAACCATAAAGGTCAATCTCAGTCATCATTGTTTGTGCGGGTAGTCTCCCTCTATCCCTCTGGCTGTCGCGCTGACCGAATGGAAAGGTCGAAAGTTGCATGAAAAAAGAAATCGCAAACTTCGTGCTTTGCAGCAGAAAATGAAAATGTGCGCTTGTTGGCAATTTTATTACAGTTTTCCCATATATAACTTGGTCCCTATTAATTTCGTCTTGTTAGACTGTCTTTCTTTCTCCAAAATTCAGGGATTTCAAAACTAATCGAAGCCTACGCAGATACAATGGACGCGGCAGAGGAGGCAGAGTTTATCGTAAGTCTCTCTATGTACATTTTTCCAAAAGAGTTAAGACTCTCCTTTGGAGAGAAAAAATGCTAATTTTTCAGTATTAACGGTGCTGTACTTTTACGAAAGGCAATACATCCCAATAGAACGAATGCAGAACCGTAATGTTCGTTAATAGTAAGAGATAATGTTGCCAACAGTTGGCCTGCCATGGCAAGTCACAGAAATATGACGAACTTCATTTCGATTTCAGAGGATACTGCAATTACTAAGTCACTTAAATTCTTAGGATAAGCGTTATACTGACACTACTGCTAATATAGTTGATCCTTCGTACAAACTGGAAGGCAGGCATTCCAAGAAATGCAATTTCAAGGAAAGGCGTCCTTTGGGAAAATGAGTAAATTTATTCAGTAAAT